GAGCCAAACGAGCACGTAGGACGCACATTTTTTTTAATAGCGACGCAGCCGCGCAGGCAGAAGCCTAAATGCCAGGGACTGCGGCTGCTATCAGGAGCTGAAAAAAGCTAATCCGATTTTTGAACTGCCTAAGATTAGTGCAGCAAGGAAAAGTCTCTTCAGGTAAATTGTTCAACAATCTCTATACCCTAGGGACTAAGGAGCGATCGTATCGGCCAGTTCTGGATGTACGAAGTTCGACAGGAAGTCAAACTTGGGTAATATTTTTTTTTATGAATCCGTAAGGTAAATGGACGTTTTTAAGATGAAATTCCATCGTTAGTTTGCTATAGAATGTTAGTATATGACTTTCTGAGGTTGGAAAACTTTGAATCAACCTCTTGAATGGAAATTTGGTCTGTTCGAAAAGCTTAGAAAAAGAACTAGGTAAAATCGGAATGGACTCATGGACTAAGTCCTCAACATATTAGTTATGGACTGTCAAGCTCCAAAGCTCGTCATTCTGATCCAGCAGATAATAAACTACCTCAAAAGATTATATGCTCTCATATATTTCAATTCACACATAGGTGTTAATCTCTGATATCAGTGACAGCTCGTGATAGAACTAAATAGAAATGTCAACATACAACATACAAGGTGTTCTTAATCATACGTAAAGATATTTTTCTATTGCTAATCCGAGTAAATCTCCATTATTGACCGTAATGTCCTATTGAGATGTAGCTTTTCACTCCATAGGTAAATCATGACAAAAAACAAATAGGTGAATAATGAATGTTATTTAAAATAAAAATATGCCCGTTCGACAACTAAACGTTATATTCCGAGATATTTAAAATAAGTAAGAGATAGATGAATCAGTGGTATAAGTAGTCGTGTAGATATCCTCTTAATAGGGATAATATTGGAAATGCTACTTTGTACACCTTGGTCACTTTTTAAGTTAGGTAGGATTGTCGGTCTGACAGTAGCCAACTAGATATTTGAAAGTATTTTTGAAATGTGCATGAAATATAATGGTCGTTGATTTGTTTAGGTTTTTTGATAAGCTAGGCAGAAATCATTGCCCATCTTCCACGCATTTACCCTTTGTCTTCTTTAGCGTTGACACCATTTATTTTTTAAACAGATCAAGTCAGCTGTTTTAATATAGAATGATTAAATTAAAACATAGTTACTATATTTTATTGTAAAACTGGCAACTGAAAGTTTCAAGGTAACGGCAGGGGCCTTTTTAGATTTTTTTAACGGAACGTGATACATCATTATAAACTAAGTAATGAAACTGGCAACGTAGCGTTCGATCTGGCAACACTGGAGGTGCCGAGCTTGGAGGGAAAACAGGGGAACATGTGATCCGCCTTCAGTACAAGTTTGAACTCGCTCAAGTCATTTGGTAGACCGTAGTGATTTTGTTTTTGTATAATATTTTTTTTCTATTGTGTTCTAAAAATGAGTGACATCAATTTCGAGAATCGGTGTGCTATCAGGCTTTGTCAAGAGCCTAGGTTTTTCGGTGGTTCAAGGCATTTTCAGAAGGGAGAGAGTCGATTGAAGATGAACCACGAACTGGAAGGTTTTCATCTTCAAGAACCGGTGAATATATCGACAGAATCCGAGATCTTGTGCGTTTACATTGTTGGTTGACAGTCAGAATGATCGGGGAAGAGTTAAATTTGACGCACATCACTGTTCATCAGATCATGAACAACTGGGTGTTGAGTGGCCATAATGCTCCTTGAGTTTTTGCCCAGTAACGACATTCCTGTGGCTCCCCAATCTCCTTATTTACCTGACTTGTGACATTTTTCTCTTCTCGAAGTTAAAAAATCACCTCAAGGGATCGCATTTTGAGACAGTCGAAAACATTGAAATGGCTGTGACCAACCAGCTGAAGGCTATTCCAGAATAGGAGGTCCAGCACTGCTATGAGGAGTGGAAGTACCTGTGACTTGCATGCGGTAGGAAGCTACGGTTCTCCCGTGCAAGGTATTTCCATATCAGGTCTGACTTCCATGCGGTAGAAAGCTACTGTTCCCCTGATCATGGACAAGGGAGTGACTTCCATGCGGAAGGAAGCTACCGTTTCCCTGTGCGAGGTATTTCCATATTAGGCGTGACTTCCATGCGGTAGGAAGCTACGGTTCTCCCGTGCAAGGTATTTCCATATCAGGTCTGACTTCCATGCGGTAGGAAGCTACTGTTCCCCTGATCATGGACAAGGGATTGACTTCCATGCGGAAGGAAGCTACCGTTTCCCTGTGCGAGGTATTTCCATATTAGGCGTGACTTCCATGCGGTACGAAGCTGCGGTTCTCCCGTGCAAGGTATTTCCATATCAGGTGTGACTTCCATGCGGTAGGAAGCTACTGTTCCCTTGATTATGGACACAGGCTTCCATGCGAAAGGAAGCTACCGTTTCCCCGTGCGAGGTATTTCCATATTAGGCGTGACTTCCATGCGGTAGGAATCTACGGTTCTCCCGTGCAAGGTATTTCCATATGAGGTGTGACTTCCATCTGGTAGGGAGCTACCGTTCCCCTGATCATGGACACGGGTGTGACCTCCATGCGGTAGGAATCTACGGTTCTTCCGTGCAAGGTATTTCCATATCAGGCGTTACTTCCATGCGGTAGGAAGCTACCGTGCCCCTGATCATGGACACAGGCGTGACATCCATGCGGAAGGAAGCTACACCGTATCCACGTGCGAGGTATTTCCATATTAGCCATGACTTCTATGCAGTAGGATGCTACCGTTCCCCCGTGAAAGGTATTTCCATATCAGACCTCACTTCCACGCGGTAGGAAGCTACCGTTCCCCTGATCATGGACACGGGCGTGACTGTCATGCGGTAGGAAGCTACCGTTCCCTGGTTATGGACATGGGTGTTACTTTCATGCGGTAGGATGCTACCGTTTCCCCATGAAATGTATTGTAAGTTATAATAATATAATTGAGAAACATCATGGCCATTATTATATTGTTTCGTGATAGATATCAAGACTGCTAATTAACATAATGAACAGACAGTAGAGTGCATGTCATGAGTCAGCAGAATATGGAAGGTACTCAAAAAATCTTCCCAAAATAGGCTTAGCCCCAACAACGCAGTTCTCTCGGCAACGAAGCAACTCCCCTGTCGTTACGTCACCAAGCAAGTGGATTTGAAATTACCCTGACATTGAAGCCCTCTTTAAGTTGTTCATGTACTACCCTCGTAATAAAGGTGAAAAGGTACAGGGTAGTACCTCGAACGCTTGTCACGGATTCGTGTTTTCTGATGTTTATCCATCATTATCATCATCCTATATATTGAAATTCCCTCTTGGGTAATTCAAACAAAATTCTGAGGATCGCAGGGACTGTAAAACATTAACATTTTGAGACACAATGTATGCATCGCAGACAATTTTCTATAGATTATTGATTATAAATAAACGGACTTTAAGCTCGGGGCTTGGAACGGCACACCTCCAATTTCGCAAAACAGATAATTTAATATCTATATGCTACAAGTTACGTTTATTACTTACTTGGACTTTGAACTATAGATTCCAATAACATACTATTACTTACGGAGATACGTGTAACAATTATGTGGAACGATCAGATTAATTTACATTAATAATTCGCTATGAAATTTATTAGATTTTCAAAGTATTCTTAAATTGATTTATTTATTGATTGATTTATTGGCGATATAAATTTTTGAAAAGCCAATTTATTGCCGCCTGGAATATCATTTTGTACTTTTAATAAATCTTCAAAACTACTGAACTGAAGCTCATGTATTTTACATCATTATGAAGGGAATTGAAGGACCTTTAAAATAAGGTATCACTCGACCCTCCTTTCCATTTAAGATTTAAGGGTTGGTGTCACCCCCGCCCAGGGGGTTGCACGTGTTAACGTAATTTTTTTGCCAAACTTGTGTCCCCCTCGGAAACAAAATCGACGGGTCTGAGCGTTTTTTCAAAAAAAAAAACTGAGCTGCCAGTAAATGCGTCTGTTTCGTTTTCGATGCGCCACCCATATATATTATATATTATATATTATATATTATATATATATATTATATATTATATATTATATATTATATATTATATATTATATATTATATATTATATATTATATATTATATATTATATATTATATATTATATATTATATATTATATATTATATATTATATATTATACAGGGTGACTTCGAAGTTGAGTCATTTATTTTAACAGTGAGTAGATCTGATCAAAAGAAATGTTTTTTTCCTTTACCATTTTCCTGGTAAAATTAAAGTAACAAAGTTATAGCCCTTTGGAAGTTTGAGTACCGCCCTGTCTCAATAACAATATTATGTGGTCGTGTTTGGCGACAACGGATATAATCCGCCGTATCGGTTCATCGCATCGGAAACAAAAAAGCGAAAGAATTTGGAACGATCTTTTTACAAGTATCTCATTCATTTGTATACAGTCAGTGACAGTGAATGGTGGTATCTGTTGCGTGGCTCAAACGAAATAAAAAATGGCACATGTTTATGCGGATCGGTTTCCCAATCGAGTGCAACCAACCCATCGTGCCTTTGTTAGTGTAGTACAACGGGCTCGTGAATCAGGTGACTTAAGACCTCAGAGGGGACCTCAGGATCAAATACAGGTCCGCACTGAAATACTTGTCGGGAGGATACTTTATAAAACAAGGTAAAAATTTTTTTTTATTTTTTTTTTATTTTTACACACATATTTTGGTTTATCTTCCTTCTACAATCATTATCTGAAAATTAATGACTCAACTTCAAAGTCACCCTGTATATTATATATTATATATTATATATATAATATATATATATATTATACAAAATACATTTTGTCATCTACTCTGCACATGTCGTAAAAAAATTGTAAATTTGCTGTAGGGCTTGCTTTTTAGGAGTCTGTACCTCCGTAGGGAAGCTCTGCAGGAGATTTTCTGTATTTTATATGCATCCAAGAGACATTTCTACTCAATCTGAGACATCCTGCATAGTATCACCCTTCGTGCTCAAATTGATAAAGTAACTTGAATTTTTTGGTGTACGTCCTGTGTGATGTGGAAAGCGGCCAATTCCGTCCCTGTGTCGGATGGTACTTCTACATTTTGGAACAACGATACCACATGGAAGAAGACCCTCCAACTGGGCAGTACTGGTCAGTTGGTACCTAGCCAGCGTTAAGATAAACACTCTTATCTGGATGTATATTCGAGTACACATAAAATGGTAAACAAACAGAAATGCCCAAACACAATAATTTGTTGGTTTTAGTGTGGTACCTACAGCCTTAAAATTTAGTGATTATCGAAGATGAAAGCAAAGAATATCAGAAATTACGGCTCCGTCGGATATCGCGTCTTGGGAGGACGGCGTGGTCACAGGTACGTTTCACTTATTACCATTAGAATTTGTTACTCTGGGAGAGAAATATAGTGTGCGAGTTTTCGGCGCGAGATCGGTCTATAACGCCCCTGTTCCTTAAATATGGGGAAAAACAATGGGACCGAAGAAGATACCGGCAAACAACTGTTCTGCTAGTATCAGCATTTTATCAGCAAAATTGACATGAGACGCTTGTTAATCTATAAAAGAACTAACTTCAGCTAACTCGCAAGACTCATCATTAACTCCTAAGCCCTTTCAGAAACGTCAAGGTCATACTGAGTTGCATTGGATGATAATTCGGTTCCTCAAATTATTGGCGTCTTCTGTTTCGACTATTTTGATCAATTCGAAGCCCATGACTGCAAGAATCATCCAAAAACAACAATAAGACCTTCAATATCCTTTGCCAAACTACTCCCATGACTGCAAAAATCATCCAAAAACAACAATAAGACCTTCAATATCCTTTGCCAAACTACTCCAAAAACAATTTTTACATGAACTACTATTATTATATATTTCTTACTACTCCTTTAGAAAATAATCAAACCTATATCAAAAAAATTAAGCCCTTGGATCATGTGTCAGTGGAAAGATCAAATTGACTCTATTGGTACCACCAACAGAGCCACTACATTCGTTGGTTTCCAGAAATGGACCAGTTCTATACATTTTTTATTCATACCCAGCAATACAATAATTGCCCTAAAGTGACGTCATTTAGCTCAACAAAATTCATCATTCACATAATTTTATGCCTACTTTCAAGGTAAGCTGATGGGGGAATGACAGTATTGCCAACGTATTTTGCTAGCCACATGGCGGTACAAACACTTCGCTATACAATTACCTATATTCCATATATTTATCCTTTTATTTTTCATTCAGTTCACAGCTAAGACAGGACAACAAGTGTCGGATCAGCTAGTTTAAAATAAAATGGAGTATTTTTACATTTTTAATGAAATATTATAATGATCAATGGGTGATTCTTCAAAGTCGAACAGTAAACCTAGGCCCGATAATACTTCATTTTCGAAATACAGGGATCAAACTTTATTGACTTTTCATAATAAAGATTATTGATTCTTTACCAGGTTTTTCGAAAATTTGTCGAATTTCCGTCTGCTCAAATGTAGCCTGTAAAAAACGATTAAATCGAATGCGAAAATGTTAAGTCCTCCAAAAGGAAAAATCAAGGGATTCAGAACCAGCGGATTAGACGGCCATGCCAATTTGTAGTTTCAGTAAAGCATTATTCTAAAATGATTTTAGTTAAATTCCTAGTGATACGACTGTACCTTCGAAATTTCAAAAATGTTTACCCTGATCACCCTAGGAGTGATTACGATTTCAGTTTCAGTTTCATATAAATTTATTATTATATTATTATTAAGTTTATTCATAAAAATGTTTTCCTCAGAATCACCCACGAAACCATTCCTTAGCCGGGTGCTTCATCGACACATAGTATATTTATGTATAAATACCTAATGTAAAAATAGATAAGACAACCTTAATGTCTAATTTCAAGAGCGTCATGCTTACTTATAAAGCATTGCGAACTCAGCATGTCTATGTGAAATTAATATACAATTTTTCACGCTAAAAGCATTGAATCATTTCATAGTTAGACCTTGGAGAAACCCAATTTTCCTACGTGACCTATATATGATTTTTCCAATGAAACTACTCATTTTTAATTTATTTTGCAGCCTTCTAATACTTGCACATTGTTTAAATTACTGGGTATTCGTGACTAGAAATTAGCACTATGCAGAAATGGTACACTGAATTTTTATAGAAATCCTTGCAAAATTGCCATGTTTTTTTTTATTATCAAGAACAATTGTCACTAACTTCAATTATATTCATATATTTACTGCTATTTGAAATTCAGAAAGTGTAATATGTGTGCATTCTTTACTAATAACTAACGCATACTGCATTTTGTGGTGGGACAATGCATTATTGGTCTATTTCATGGACTCTACAATGAAAACATATACAGGGTTTAAAGTTAGTAGTGGATCAACGGAAGCAGGGAGATAGAGGGCCTCAAGACCTATCGAATGAACCCCTATATGCGTGGCCCGAAATTTTATAGTTCAGGAGGTATTTGCAATTTTGTGAAATTTCGAAAAAAACGATTTACGGCTGTGATTTTTTCTGAGATCAGCTAAATGCTTAGTTTTAGCAATGGTTATGTCACTTTTTAACAGAGCTTATTAGAAATCAACGCCAAAAATCTTAAATTCAATTTTTTTTTAAATCTTTGTCATCCCTCAACTTTGGAGGGCTAAAAAAATGGAGGTTGTATTTCATTATTCATTTCATTGTAAAAAATATTTCAATCCATGTAGAATAAACCCTGAAAATTTCAGCTTGCTATGATGAATGTATCATGTCACATTCGTTGTTGTGATGCGATAAACGTAAGAAACGCAATAGAATCCTTACCACCTACAAGTACAGAACCTATCGTGTTTAGCCGCTCTTTATTTATCGACAAACGTAGAAGATAATTTAAATTAACTAACTTTTAAAGAACATGTTCGAAATTACCTCCATTGTTTTCTATACACAAGCGAAACCTAATAAAATTGTCCTTTAGTCTTTGAGATGAATTTGCGTTTTCCAAAAATTTTTATTTTTACTTCAATTTGCTTGATCAATTTTCTGGCACAGTTGGTTGACATGGGTATATTCAGATGTATATATTATCCCCTTATAAAACCTCCGTATAAAAAAATCTAGAGGATTTAAGTCGGGTGACCTTTGAGGCCATCGTATGTGTCCACCTGATGATGACGATGATGACGATGATGACGACGATGTCCCAGGAGAAATGTTTCTCTTGGATATGGATGTAGGTGGTAGACGGTCTCTGACTGTCGAACGCGAAGGTACCACCCGGCGGATCTCGTAGGCGGAGCCAGAATGTGTGCATATTGCATGCACACGTGTTCCCTCACCAGAGTCCGTGTGGCGTTCCCCCTTTCCCCTGTATCCCCTATAGCCCCACGGTACCCAATGGGTGTTTAGGCGTTATGCCTTCGTGGCTCATTAAGCTGATTTGGCTATTTGCGTAAAAAATCCGCCATTTTGATTTTACAAAATGTTAATAGAGACAGTATCACTCGCACTGCTAGGAAAAATCTAACAGTACTTCAAATGTCAAAATCCACCAAGTCGTTTGAACTGTGGCTCGTAGAATAGAATTTCTTGTTTACATGTAAAGATACCCACTTGCGTCAAATATACAGATTTTTTAAGGTGGTTTTTTAAGGCTTAAAATAGTTCTTACAATAAAATGTGACAAATCCACTGCTAAAGCTAACTATATAGCTCATCTCAAATAAAATCACAGCCCTAAAGCTAATGGTTTAGTTGTAATTGCGATTGAAAGTTCACTATCCCGGTTTTTTTCTAAATTTCACAAAATTGCAAATATCTCCTGAACTATAAAATTTCGGACAACACATATGGGGGTTTATCCGATATGTTCTGAGGCCCTCTATCACCTGACTTCCGTTGATCCACTACTAACTTTACACCCTGTATAGAGATTCTGAAGCATCACACACTAGAATATAAGGTTAAGTTGAAAAACGCTAATCTTAGCGACACTTCGCCTTTTTTGTACTTTTACTCGTGTACGAAATAAAGACCATTTATTATTATTATTATTACGTAGTCGTGCCATAAGTTCTGTCCCATGATAATCTCATGATAAAAATGAAACAAGATAAGATATATTTATATGAAAGATATTATTTATTCGACAACATTTTTAGAATTCATAATCAAACAGTTTTATTCAAAATGTCCCCCCTTGGCCTTCACACACTGCTTCAATCTCGCGGGCCACTCATCTATCACTGCACGCACAGCTTCCAAAGGAATAGCTGCCGCTGATCGGATCAAATCCGCTTTCAGGGACTCGATATTACGGTGGGCTTTGGAGCAGGCCAACTGCTCTAGCAGGTCCCACGACTTGTAGTCTAAAGGATTGAGGTCCGGACTCCCTGAGGGCCAATCTTCCGCAGCAATGAACTCTGGCACATTGCTTTCCAGCCAGCGCTGCGTACTCTTAGCCTTGTGAGCGGGGGCGGAATCCTGCTGGTAGACCCAGTGTTGGTTGGCAAACAATGTACCACTTAAAGGCTTGACGATAGGATCCAGTATGTCGCTCTGATAGTTTGCCGCTTTTGTTTTCACGCCCTGTTTACAGAAATGGAGCTGAGTGACCCCTTCGTAGGACACCCCCCACCAAACCATGACTGACGCAGGGTGGTGGCCTCTCTCAACTCTCGGAATGATCTCCGAAGCTTCCTGTGAACTCCTTGCATACACTTTGTCATTTTGTCGGTTGAATTTTTCTTCTATGGTGAAGATTTTCTCATCCGTGAACAAAATCTTTCGGAATCCCCCAGCTGCGTACCTCTCCAAGAGCTTCTTGGATCTTGTCGCCCTGATGTGTCGCAAGGTGGCCGTAAGTCGCTGGCCCGTACGTCTCCGGTAAGCCCCTAGCCCTAGGTCTTGTTTAATGATGCGCGACATCGTCCGGACAGGAATCTTCATTTCCCTGGATAGGATCTTCTGCTTCCGGAGTGGATTCCTTTGAATCCTGGCTTTTACGGCTTTGATGGCTGCTGGAGTCCTTACTTGACGAGGTCTTCCGCTTCTTGGCCTGTCATCAACAGAGGACGTCTCATTGTACCGCTGAATGGTCCTAGACACAAATTTACGCGATATTTGAAGGCCGCGTAAGAGTTCAAAAATCTGACTAGCACTGTGATTACACTTATGTAAAGCTATCACTGCAATACGGTTCTCTGCCTTGCCCCACTCCATCGTTATGCTTCGAGAGATCAATACAAACTGAGGTATATGTAATTACCCGAAAAGCGCTTAATCAACTGACACCACAATGTAAACAATCGGACAAGTATTAACAGGTCTACACTTGTTTGAAAACGAGGGACAGAACTTA